ATGAAACATACAACTTTCCTCTAGTTCCTAAATGTTTCCTCTTCCCCCACTGTCATTATCCCAATTCTACCTTACAAATTTGGCTAGACCAGAGGATGTACACTGGTACAGATAGGAAGTGGGAACACAGTGAATCCAGGATGGATGATCCCTTCAGGACCAGTGGTGTGAGTGGCGATACTGGGAGGGTGGGTTGGAAAGGGGGGACCGATTACAAGGATCTATCTGTGACCTCCTCCATGGGGGATGAACAACGGAAGAGTGGGTGAAGGGAGACATTGGACAGTACAAGATATGACAAAATAATAATTTATAAATTATCAAGGGTTCATGAGGGAGGGGGCACAGGGAGGTAGGGGAAAAACGAGGAGCTGATGCCAGGGGCTTAGGTGGAGAGCAAATGTTTGAGAATGATGAGGGCAATGAATGTACAAATGTGCTTTACACAAATGATGTATGTATATATGGTGATACAAATTGTATGAGCCCCTAATAAAATGATTAAAAACAGAAAGAAAGAAAGAAAGAAAGACGAGAGAACTGGTCTCTTGCTTGCCCTTCTTCTTCCTCCTTGATTGAATCATATGTCTGGCTTCAGGGATAGTGACCCGTGTGGCCTGGAATCCTGGGAGTTGTTGGCACCCCACCATGTTCCTGCTGACCTTGGATATGCATGATTTTGCACCTACTAGCTCGTATCTCCCAGTTTGCCTCTTCGTCTTCCTGCCTCATTGGCTGGCAGCTGTGTGAGGTGGATGGACCTCCAACTAGTAGATGACCCACTGACTTGAGCTGTACCAGGAAATGGGCTGGGCCATTTTCTTGATAAACATTTCTTTCTTCAAATAAAGTTTTTTTCTTATACAAGCAGAAGAGTCACCGGTTTGGTTCTCTCACAAACCTAGCCTAACACATGTGGTTACCAAGACAAGTGCTAGACCTGAATTTGAGACCATGGTATGCTTACATATATTCTCTTTCCATATTCTGTATGTCTTTAAGAAGGGGAGTTGACATCAGTACCCTATTATAGTTTCTGATGGTCACACTTACATTGCCCTGAGCTCTCCCTTGTTCCTGTAGTTTACTGAGTACACCTTGCTTTCCAGAATCAACCCTACAAGAAACAAAGGTACAAACTAAACCAACTGGGAATCGAGATCATGCTTGGAAGTCTTTCTGGGGAGAGGACAATACTTGGTGTGGACTAAGGGTTAGGGGAAAGGAAAGGAGTCCAGTGTGAGGTTACAGGAGGAAGCTGGCAGCCTTAGTGTTGCTTTTTTTGGCATGCCCAGTCTCTCTTTATCCTCTTCCTGGATGGAGGGCTTGGAGCCAGAACCCCCGAGTCTTTATGAATGGATAAAAGAGGTGACCTTGAGTGCCACCCCATTTCAGATTCTTGAGGGCAGCCAAAGCGATGGCTTTCTTTCCTCTACTCCTGGTGGGCATACTGCTTTCTGCTCTCCAGGCCACACAAGTAACAAAATATGAACTATGCCAGATGCTGAAAGAGCTGGATGGCTATCGATCCATCACTTTGTCAGAATGTGAGTTCCTTTACTTTATTCCATTGCCTATCTGATTCTCTTCTCTATCATTCTTTCCTCTCCCCTTCCTTCCTCCATTAAAAATTGTTTTTCCCTAAAATTGTGAAGGGTTACAGAGTAGATTGGTTTTCCACTCAACATTTCGCAATCATTTTGTTTCATCTCTTTGATTGAAGTCCCCACAATATAACTTCACTTATCCCACTTTGTCTTTGTATTTCCTATTTCCGTTTCTCCATCTTTCCTAATACTCTGAAATTATCCTTGGATAAATGCTGTCCTTTTGGCATCAAATGGTTGGTTATTGTACGGTGTGCATACCTCACAGGTACTATCATTTCCCCTTTAGACTTGAGCCATGGGGGTGAGTTCATTTCCAGACCTGAAGGATGACTAAGGGCCATAGTCACGGGGGTTCTATCACTCTCTGCCAACCAGGAAGTCTGGTCCTTTTTCAAAAAGAATGTTGAGTTTGTTTACACATTTCCTGCCTGCTCTCCTCTCACTTTATCCAGGGTCTTCTAATGTGATGAAGAGTATTTTGTTGTGGGAGCCAAGCACCGTCTAGTTATTCTGGTCTCAGGGTTGTGGTGTCTGATTTTCACCTGGTCCGTTAGTTTGCTTGACTGATGGTTTTCCTGTGTCTTTTCTTTTCACCGCTCTTCTTTCTTCCAGACAGGGAGAAACATCGCACCTCAGATGTCTGCTCACCAACTTTTAAGACCCCCGTTTACTACTCACCAAAGTAGAGTAGAGAGCATTGTCTTTGTGGACTATGTTATGCTTAGTGTCCCCGGAGTCTATGGTCCTGTGCCCCCAAGCCCAGTGACTCATTATCTTACGTGTTTGGATATGCTTAAGCAGTTTTCATAACTTTGTTCTCTGCATGGATATATTTGCAGCAAAGTTAAATAGCCATGTACGAATATCACTCATCACACCTGTCTATCTCTCTCTCTCTCTCTCTTCTATCATTTATCTTCCTACTCTTCTTTCCACACCTTTTCAGCCTGCGTATCTATTTATACATCTACTTGCAGTTAGCT